CCTGAGGCCCAAACCTGGCGGGCGAAAGCCTGGAAAATAACGGCCACGGCGCCCTCTCGAGAACCGAAAACGGACAATTCACTAATCGACGTGTCACTGTTGGGGGTTCTGTCCTCCCCCGAGAAAACGATTCCAGGCGGCAGTGGAGGCAGGATAGACGTCCTGGAGTATCGCGGGCGACCACGGGGCAGAGAGGCAGATCAACAACCCGTGGAGGGAGGCAGCAGCAAAAACTGTCCGAAGGAGGCGGAGGGCGAGGGTTCGTCAATAGGGGGATGGCCCAGACGAGAGGTGGAGAAGAAAACCTGGAACTCGGAGCGTTGTAGGACGTTGTCTGTCGCGCTTCGGCCGAACAGTTGCCTTTTGTGGCCGATCACCTCGGCACTGCCCGAGTGCTTCGAGAGTCTTCTGTGTCCAACTGACTCGGCCCATTACTGCAGAAGATGACTATGACAAGACCCTGCAAGTAGTTTCGCTGTTTCGTCGAAAATATGCATTTCACATCGCTGGTCGGCCAAAGAGTACCACTGGCATCCCCGACCATTGCAGAAACAAGGCGACAAGGCATGCAGCCTCAACTCAGCAAAGCATGATGTGATAGCTGGGTGTTCTTCTGACCGCCTCACCCCCTTTCCGTGTTTCCAGTCGTCCTGTGCTCCGATCTCGGGAACATGATCAGAAGCAGCAGGAGCAGAAGAAGGATCAGCAGCAGCACAACACACAATGCCCACCCTCCAGGCGTTATGAGGCTCCAGCACGTAGTTGAAGCGGTTCGCTGTGATTGCGAGCTGGTTATTCGTGCCTGGGTGGGTATGGCACATGCCGCTTCCTACCGTCAGTTCCTATGCCGATTGCCTCCACTATGCTCCCACGTCGCGGCTGCCAGCATGCTGCTAACACGCCTCTGCTTAATCTGACTTGCCCGCCTGCACACCCACATCGTATGATTGCCCTCGTCCGAGCGATGGCTCTCCTCGGCATCCTCCCTCGCGGTCCTCCTCCTCCTCCATTTCAAACAACGGCAACGACGACAACGACGACAACGACGACGACGGGATAATTACTACGACGACGACGACGACGACGACGACGACAACGACGACGACGACGACGACAACGACGACGACGACGACGACGACGACGACGACGACGAGGACGAGGACGACAACGACGACAACGACGACGACGGGATACTACGACGACGACGACGACGAGGACGACGATGACCGTGCCTGACGACGCACAATGTCGGCCCCGCGGGTGGACGCGTTCGAGGCCGTGCGCAGGCGAGGGGGCCGCAGATTCAAGGGAGGGAGCAGGAAGATGAGGGCCCAGAGATCCGATGTCTTGTTCTTCCTCCTCCTCCTCCTCCTCCTCCTCCTCCTCCTCCTCCTGGGGAGGAGCTCGAGGCCCCCAGAAGTCACAACCCCTTCCACCGGACAGCTTCTTCACAGTCCGGCGAGGGCCCCCAGAGGCCGAAAACTGCGGAAAACCTTTCGCAGATTGAACGCTTCAACACGTCGGAGGTCTGGGGGGATGAGGCTGAGCAGGGAGGACGGAGGAGTGGGAAGGGGAGCTCCGGCCCCGGCGCTCCCGATCCCCTCCCACGGGGGGCCGTTTGTCGTCCCGGATCGGTTCTTGAGGGCCTCGGGGCCCGATGAGGGACCCAGAAGGCCGAAATCTGGGACAGTGGCCAGGATCGGGAGAATCAGGTCCTCGGCACTCTGGCGCGGGGCAGAGGGGCAGGGAGGCTTTAGGATTCTAGGTTGGTCTCGCGCGCGGCCGCGGAGGGGCACGAGGTCCAGGAAAATGAAAAAACAACAAAAGCGACGACGACGACGACGACGACGACGACGACGACTCCGAAGGACGACGGTAAGGACGACAAACGACACGACGACGAGGCGACAAAGACGACGACGATCGAACGAACGAACAAACGAACGCAGCAACGCGAACGACGACCCCGACCACGACAACGGTGACAGCAGCCGCCCGCGCGGCAGCGGGAGCAGCGGGGCGCATGTAGCGCGCCGCCCCCGGCAGAAGGTCGGGCATTGGCAGGCCTTAGTCTAGGGGGACCCAGATTAATCATGTGTGCTTGGGGACGCTTCCCCCGTCCTTCTCCACTAACAGGCACTGCCGCCACTGGAGGGGGGAAGGAAAAAAAACGGCAAGCCTGTTGTAGCGATTCTGGCAAATTTTTGGGGCTCCGGAGGCCGAAAACGCTGAAGAACCTTTGCCCCGATCTTTTCGAGACGCCAGGCGTCTGGGAGCCCATCCTCCCAGCCCGAACTTTGCCTTGAGGGTCACACGACGGCGCCCTCGGAACCAGCGGTGCCACCGCCGCGTCTGGTGGCCCGCCACATGGCCCCCTATGCGCGCAAGATTTGTATCCACATCTGCTGCGTCTCGGAGTCCCCGGGAAGGGGCGCCACAAGGCCGAGGCGCAGTGGATATGGATGAAAATACAGCCCCTAAGGGCCAGACTCTTGTATCGATATCCACTGCGCCTCTGGCGTCCGGGGAAGGGAGCCCGGCACTCCAAGACGCAACGGACAGAGACACAAGTCTTGCCCGCACCCTGGATCCTGGGATCGGGGGGCCGCCGGCCCTGGAGTCAGATCGGGCATGTCCCCCTACAGGCGGGTCTTGGACGAAAAAGTTAGAATGTCCCAAGAAAAAAACAAAAGTGTTCAAAAAAAATCCAGATAACAACAAAAAACACCCCCCCCCCCCCAAAAAAAAAACACACACAAAAAAACATATATGTATAAATATATATATATATAGGAAAAAAAAAAAAAAAAAAAAAAAAAAAAAAAAAAAAAAAAAAAAAAAAAAAAAAAAAAAAAAAAAAAAAAAAAAAAAAAAAAAAAAAAAAAAAAAAAAAAAAAAAAAAAAAAAAAAAAAAAAAAAAAAAAAAAAAAAAAAAAAAACGCCCCCGGACTAGTCTTGGACTGCTTTGGCATACTCCTCCTGCAGGGGGACACGCCCGACTTCACCCTCGAGGCGCGGAGGGCCCTGGCGCCCCCCGGTCGGGGCCGACGGCAAGGACTGGAGCGCACGAGGACATGCGCTCGGTCGGGCATGTCCGCCTACAGGCGGATTTTGGGCGAACAGGCGAGAATAGTCCAAAAACTTGCAAGACCCAACGAAAAAACGACGAAACAAAAACAACAAAACAAAAAAAGACGTCCCCAGACGAGTGCTGTCGACTATCTCTGAATATGCCTCCTGTAGAGAGACACGCCCGTCGCCGCGCCGCTCGTGCTCTGCGCGCCCCGGCGGGCGGCGCCGCCCGCGCGGCAAGGCCTGCGCCCCGCGCCCCGAGCTTAGGCCGGGCACGTCCCCCTGCAGGCGGATTCAGGGCGAAAACGAACAAAAGAATCCCCAAAAGCAAAGATACGAAAATTGCCGGCGATGCTCGAAAAAACGCCCCCTGACTAGTTCTTCTGACTGTCTCTAGCTACTCCTCCTGTCGAGGGACGCGCCCGACTCCGCCCCACGCGGACGGAGGCGGCGGCAGGCCCACCGCGCCCGAGGGGCGGCGCTGTTGCCCTGGTGGCCGGGGCGCCATCCCCAAGACGCAGGGCCGCGCGTCGGAGCAAACGGCGCGGCGACACGAATCGCACCCTCGGGTCGGGCACGTTCCCCCTACAGGCGGATTTGGGGCATGGAAAAACAAAATTGGCCGGGCGAAGGACCCAGCCATGTGCAGTTGTGAATACCGCAACTGTGAATACCATCTTCGCCCGCGCTCCCTATGTGGCCACGGCTGCCCGCAGGAGCCCGACGTGCTCAGGAACACGTTCATGGCCACCTTCGCGGACGCCGAGGACGACAAAAACGGCGTCCTCGTGAGGGGTGTGCCGAAATGGCCCGACGCCGCCATGCGAACCCCGCCACTGGCGCCTTCGGTGGAGCCCCCTATGGGGCCACGATCCTCGTGAGGGCCCGAGGCCGCCATGCGAACCCTGCCACTGGCGCCTTCGGTGGAGTTCCCTATGGGGCAACGATCCTCGTGAAGGGTGTGCCGAAATGGCCCGAGGCCGCCATGCGAACCCTGCCACTGGGCCCCTTCGGTGGAGCTCCCTATGGGGCCACGATCCTCGTGAGGAGTGTGCCGAAATGGCCAGAGGCCGCCATGCGAACCCTGCCACTGGCGCCTTCGGTGGAGTTCCCTATTGGGCCACGATCCTCGTGAAGGATGCGCCGAAAGGGCCCGACGCCGCCATGCGAACCCTGCCACTGGCGCCTTCGGTGGAGCTCCCTATGGGACCACGATCCTCGTGAGGGGTGTGCCGAAATGGCCCGATGCCGCCATGCGGACCCTGCCACTGGCGCCTTCGGTGGAGCTCCCTATGGGGCCTCGAACCTCGTGAGGGGTGTGCCGAAATGGCCAGGCACCGCTATGCGAACCCTGCCACTGGCGCCGTCGGTGGAGCTCCCCACGGGGCCACGATCCTCGTGAGGGGTGCGCCGAAACGGCCCGAAGCCGCCATCTAAACCCTGCCACTGGGGCCTTCCGTGGAGCTCATATGGGGCCACGCCGAAATGGCCCGAGGCCGCCATGCGAATCCTGCCACTGGGGCCTTCGGTGGAGCCCCCTTTTATGGGGCCCCGATCCTCGTGAGGGGTGTGCCGAAATCGCCCCAGGCCGCCATGCGAATCCTGCCACTGGGGCCTTCGGCGGAGCTCCCTGTGGGGCCACGAAACGCTGCCCTGGATGCGGGCACCCCCACTGGGGCCTGCGGTGGAGCTCCCTGGAAACGCTGCCCTGGGTGGGGGAACCGCATGCGGGCACCCCCACAGGGGCCTTCGGTGGAGCTCCCTGTGGGGCCACGAAACGCTGCCCTGGGTGGGGGACATGCGGGCACCCCCACAGGGGCCTACGGTGGAGCTCCCTGTGGGGCCACGAAACGCTGCCCTGGGCGCGGGACCCGCATGAGGGCACCCCCGCTGGGGCCTACGGTGGAGCTCCCTATGGGGCCACGAAACGCTGCCCTGGGCGCGGGAACCGCATGCGGGCACCCCCACTAGGGGCCTTCGGTGGAGCTCCCTGCGGGGACACGAAACGCTGCACTGGGTGGGGGAACCGCATGCGGGCACCCCCCCTGGAGCCTTCGGTGGAGCTCCCTATAGGGCTACGAAACGCTTCATCGGGTGTGGGGGAACCGCATGCGGGCACCCCCACAGGGGCCTTCGGTGGAGCTCCCTATGGTGCTACGAAACGCTGCCCTGGGTGGGGGAACCGCATGCGGGCACCCCCGCTGGGGCCTTCGGTGGAGCTCCCTATGGGGCCACGAAGCGCTGCCCTGGGTGGGGGAACCGCATGCGGGCACCCCCAGTGGGGCCTGCAGTGGAGCTCCCTATGGGGCCACGAAACGCTGCCCTGGGTGGGGGAACCGCATGCGGGCACCCCCGCTGGGGCCTTCGGTGGAGCTCCATATGGGGCCACAGGGGCCCACGGGGGGGGGAGGAGGGGGGAGGAGGAGGAGAGGAAGGAAGGAAGGAAGGAACGCAGGGCGCTGTCACTTCAAAACGAAGACCCAACACCACAGGATGGTTGGGAAACCAGACATCGCATGCCTGGGAAGATAGGAGGCGGCTGCGGGTCTGTCCTGGATGGGCACCAGCACCACCAGTCAGAAGGGGAAAGGTGGCAAATTCGGCATTCGATGCTCTGGAGAAGCGACCCATAGGAGGCAAGGACCGAAGCCTGTGTACAATGGTGCCCCTCTCCCCCTCCAACAGCTGACACAAGTGAGGCCCCACAACAGCCCCCCAGCTGGCTCCAAGGCGAAGGGGTGCTTGTGTGACCCCCTCGGCGCCTATGCTAGAAGGCGCCTCACCAGTCGAGGTCATCATCATCCACTCCTGCTTGTCCAGGCCGACGGAGACACTGGCGTGGAGCGGCTTCACGTTGCAGTCCTTCTTAGTGATCCCCAGCTGGTGAATGCTGAGGTATCCAACCTCCAGCACCTGCCTGCACTGCGGGTCCATGCACGAAGCCTCCTTGTTCGAGATTTCGAAAACGCTAGTCCTTTCCAGGACTGAGGCTTAGACAAACCTGGCGCTCCTTCACCTTCCGATTGGCAATCCCTCTTGCCCGCGAGGAGAAAGTGATGCCTACCCTTGCCGGATGCGTGGGCAACGGATGGTCGCAGATAACCGCACTCGCTCAATCCCCTGTTCGTGGCAGCGTAAGAACTCAATGAGAGAAATCGGGTGATCCAGATCTTCGGAACTCTCAAGTTCAGCGTGCGTTCAACTTTCACGTGGTACGGTTTTCGCGCTATGCTCCAAGCGTGACCGCAATCGAGCGTTGCGCACGTTGGTATTACAGCCATTGTAGCTCGCCCAATGATGCTGCCCTGTACAACGCTTCTCCTCGATTCCTCGATCCCCGCGATCATCACGGCAGGCTCGACAACCCAACTGCATTGCTAGGAGGCTACAAGAAGGCCCTCGCTCGCGGACCCACTCGCTCTCTTGTAAGCGCATCACGTGTGTAACCCCGCCGTCCATGTCCAAGCGACAGCAAGCACACCCCAACCGTTTAAGAATGGCGCCGAACACAGTAGCACAGCGCCAAACCAAATCTGCCCTTCGGTAGTTCAGACCAAACTAGCTGAAGCCCAATAAACACCAACGTGCAACTGCCCCTGCGACAGGGCAGCGTGTACCGTTCCGCACACGCGCACACACAGTACTGGAGGGCTGCCTCGTTGGGGGATGGAGGGCGAAGCAAGCAATCAAGATGCGATACGGGGGTCCGTCGCCAGGCAGAGCATGACTCGCCGACTCGACCTGTTCCGCATTCCACGGTAACCGCCAGGAGGGCGCCACCCGCGGCGACGAGGCACAAATGGCCCCTGTCCCAAGCAATCAACGGACAGCGAAAGCCAGCCCAATCGAATCAGCAGGGGGGCGCCCCTAGCAGTGAATTATGCAGCGCGGAATGCTCGCCCACTTGGCCTCTCAGGACTCGAGCTAAATAATGCTTCTCGTTTTCGTTTTGCTTTCGTTTTCCTCCGCTCTGCCTTCGTTCTGCCTTTGCTGCGCAACAGAAGGAACACGAAAACAGCCCAAGAAATCGCCAAAACACCGCTTAGCTCGAGCCCTCTGGCCTCTCACCTTCCCCTCCTCCTCCTCCTCCTCCTCCTCCTCCTCCTCCTCCTCCTCCTCCTCCTCCTCCTCCTCCTCTTCCTCCTCCTCCTCGTCCTCCTCCTCGAGCCCTCTGGCATCTCACCTTCCCTTCGCCTCCTCAGGGAGGCCCGTCGGCACTCACGCGGCCCTCCCCCCCTCCCGGCCCTGTCGCCCGTCGGCCCTGGGGGGCCTCGGCCTCCCAGAGAACGGGGTGTGTTTCCGGCGGGCTGTCGGAGGTGGGAGGGCGGGAGGGCGCGCAGGGAGAGGGGGGGGGAGGACGGGGGGCAGGAGGGAAGATAGGGGAACGAAAGGTGAGATAAACATGAAAAGTCGGAGGTCCGCGCGGACTTCTCGGACCGGCGCTGGGCCCCCCTGGCGCGCTCCGCGCCGTTCCCCTAGAAGGGAAAGGAAACAGAGAGGGAACGTGGGAGGGGAAGGAGGGGTACACCCCTGCCTAGAGTGAAGGACAGTTGAGGCCGAGAGGGTGGACTTCACTCGAAGCGTGTTCTGAACCAGCACTCCAGGTCCACATCTACGATGAGTCTACGAAAAAGAAAAGCTCCAAGAGAACGCCCACGGTCCAGCCCAGATTCTCGAACTTCTTTACCGAAGTCTGGAGTTCGCGAAAGTTGACGCGTTTTCTTCAGAGCTCTGATGGGTGTGAGGAGATAGGGGAAGCGGTAGGGAAGGGGGAAGGGAGGGGGGAGGGAGGGAGCAGGGGGAAGGAGGGGGGGCGGAGGAGCAGGACGGGGCGGAGCCAGCCCCGCCCTGCGGGGGCCACCACGGGGCCACTGGGCTGCGAGGATGAGGCTTCGAGCACGCAGGTATCAGACCTCAGCTCCCCCTCTGCAGGGCCAGTCCTTGACTCTTCGGTTCCAAGGCTTCAGACTTACATGCCCTGGTTCCGCGCTCCGAGGTTGAAGGGCTGTAGGATGCGCGCCAACCCCACACAGGCCACAGGGGTGCCTTACCAACACCAGACATCGTTCCCTCCCAATCCAATGTCCCCTCAAGCACACAAAATGTAGCATATTCGCATTTCTACGGCCATGCTCGCGCGCTCCCGAAGCCACAACCCCTTGTAAAGTACAATGCACGTGCGCTCCCGAGGCCAGACTCCGAGGCAAAGCTCGAGCTCACGACACCATGATCACTTTTAGACTAAATACTGGGTGGCGGCTCGCGAGACAGCCAAACCTTGTAGATTACTACAGGCGCGCGCTCTCACGAGGCCACGTTCCTCCAAAAATACAGCAGGCGCGCTCCATGGCCCATACAGCCTTCCAAAGTACGCCTGGTGCGCGCTCCCGAGGCCACCGTTCCTTGGACGTTACACCACATGTGCGCTCCCGAAACCACAGTCCTTCGTAAATTACGACATTGGAGGCCTGGGAATGGGCACCAACACCAACACAGGGGGGTTGCCTCCACATGGGGAAGATGATCCTAGATTTCGGTAGTGGTAATACTTCGGCCACCTTGGAAGCCAGAATATTACCACCACCATCACTGAGATCGGGATCGCCTTCCCTCGGTGGAGGCACGCCGCCGATCTTGGTGTTGGTGTCAACCTCTAGGCCTGCGACGACAGGCTTGCTTTTCTTTCGAGGCCACCAGCGGATGTCGTTCCGTCTCAATTCTTGTCGCGACCAGCGAGACAGCTAAAACGTGCACGACAAGCCTTGACGTATAACCATGACGTTCACGACCCAGCCCTGAACAACTCGATATGTACATGATCAAACCCAAAGACGGCCAACACTTACACGGCAAGCCTTGGACCAAACATGACGTACACGACCAAGCGCTGACCGGCAAAACCAGAAGACGGCCGATACGTCCACGGCAAACCTTTGACCCTTTCTTCTTCGTACTGCTCCCTTATATTTCCACACAAACATCGAACCTGTCAAAAAGACTCCCACACGTCGCACGTCAGCTGTCACCGCGAAACAACTCGCATTGCCACTAAGGTGAGACACGGCAGGAACGAAGAGGAAGGAAGACAAGGACGAGGAGGAGGGAGAGTGGGCAGTGCGGCTGCCGAAAACGGCTGTCACGAGCACCGGTGCTTAATACCTCGGCGAAGGCTAGAATTAAAAAACAACTGGCGAAACAAGGAGAAGTGAGGAGGACAGAGGGTAATCCACACCAAGACGTGGCAAGCTAAACGGTCGCAGCCGTACGCTGCGCATTGCAGGCAAAAGCTGCCAGTAGCCCCAGACCTGGGGGGATGTAGCAAGACAAGGAAAGAGAGGACAGAGGCGAACGAATATCGCAAACACGCGCGTGCGCTGGCCGATCTGACTGGCACCAAAGCCCTCGCGAGCACCACCGAAGGGAAAAGGGAGGGACGGAGGGGAAAGAAGGACGGGGCACGGGGCGAAGGGAGAAGGGCGTAATCTGCTGAGCGCAAGTACTCGCCATCGAAATCCGCCGATCCCAGGGGGCAGCACGCTGTGCCCAGGCACGCGGTGCGCGCACGCGACACCAACTCGCAGGAGCAGGGGGAGGCAGAGGAGAGGAGATGGGAGGAGGGCAACGGGCAGTGGCGCGAATAATCAGCCCTCGCGAGCGGCCACTTCACCACGCGGGGGGAGCGAGGACGAGACGGGCAGAGGAGGTAAAAGGCTGGCCAGCCCCGGTAGGACTGGCCGGCGTTCCGCCTCCAGGCGGCGAGGGCGGGAGGAACGAGACGAGAGGGGAAAGCTCGTAGTTACTGCCTCTCTGCATCTCGTACTGACCCCTTCTCTGCTCCGCAGTGGTCCTCCACCTCGTCATTCTTGCTCCCACCCTCCTCGTTCCTCTCTTGCCCGTGTTCCTGCTCCCCCTCTGACTCCGCGTATAC